TGAAGTTTTGTTCACCTTGTGTTGCTATAGACTTGTCCAAATAATCTCACTTTATACAAAAGTGCACATTAATAACATTTTAGAGTGTTGAATGTAATTCACCGAGAAAGTTACAGTACGAACCCTTCCAGAGAAGAGGTGAAGCACTGCTTACCAACGATGTTTGAAGAGTTTTATATGCCCTATTAACCTGAATTCGACCAATATGATACTAAAAATAAGTTTTATCACAGAATCAGCTTATACTTTACGGGCTCATACCTCCAGTTGATTTTCGACTTGAGCACTCCAAAACACTTTTGAAGCTAGCGCCTTAAAAATTCAGGTTCGCGTACCAAGATTGCGATAGCAGTGGCTATTCTGTATCATTGCGATGCAACATATCTGTGTTTAACAGCTGGCGGGTTGTACTATTGGTCATAAGATAGAGCTTCCTAATGCGAGAATGGATGCCCTCCTCCCATTTATGTTTGCGTTTCATATAAATGAGTAATAAGTTCCTAATCCTACGCAATTTTTCTTGTGCTTCTGCCAGAATTGGACCATTCTAGACGCGATCCATTTATTAGCCCCAATGCTAGATTCTTTCTCAACTGCAAGAAGAAACCTTGCTCCAGTCATCTTTGAGTTTCTCGGATTAGATTTGATATAAGGAAACGGTTCTTTTAGAAGGTAAAGGCAGTGTCCAAACAAAACTTTTCAAGTTTATCAGTTTATGATGGCTGACTCTCTTACACTGCTCCCCAAATAGAAAAGTATAATTCGACCTGGTAACCGCGAAATCACTCCGAAGATCTGAGAGAGGCACACAAGGCGATAAACTTCAAATTATATCCGCAAGATTCAAGCAACTTTCAATTGCCTTCCACGTTTTTTTTAGCCCAGAAGCAAAGATTCCTTTCTAGATACTGCCTTGACAAAAAGCGTTGCGCAAGTTGACAAGCTGTGGTATTTATGAACGAGTGTTTTCCGGATTTTGTTGCCTTCTTTGCAACCAATATTTGATTCTCCTCTTGCATTGGCTTCTACCAGCATGCTTTTTAGCGAGAAAGGCATGCGATCGTTTTGGATTGAAACTTTACGCCACTGCACTCGTCCCCGTCAGCCTAAAAATTGTCCGGACTTTATGTTTCTGTGATAACTTCAGGTAACTAAAGTTGATATTTGTGTTAGGCAAACCGAAATGGTACAGAAAAGGTGGAACCTGGAGGGGATTTTTTCGGTCCCTGCCTTTAAGGTCCTCATCAAGTTCCGCTTAATGGGGTATATATGCAATGGCTGTCGACTTAGCGACATTGAAGCAACGGTTTGTCCCCTTCAGCAATACTTTTCACATGCAAAATGGCCAATGCCTTGTCCCTAGTATCAAAACAACGGTATGGGGTGTTATTTTTTCAGTGGTAACTTGATGTCTCTAATGCTAAGTCCGTAGAAAGCTCAAACGCTTTTACTTCCTGAAAAGGATGTAGCGAAGCTTATTAAGGCTCTACAACGCATTCTTGACTCACATGTGTGCTGCACAAGCGGTCGAGGAACTTGTATGTGTCAGGGAGATGTAAAGGGACATGCTTCTACAGCTGACGTTACGTTGACAAACCAAGATCCTGGTTTTTGGTTAGGTTAGATGATGCTTATAATAGGTTTAGGTTTAAATTCGGGAGGTTAGGGGTTCAGTAGGGTATAAAACGGGACATCTAGGCAAGTCTTTTTTAGACAATTCGCGGTGATTTTAACTATACCCTCAGTCTTCTGCCTACATCTGTCTACTCAAACGACGGTATTTCCATCTAAAGTCTTTAGCTGTGGACAACTCATCACGTTATTGTCCTCCAGATGACCTTAAAAATGGCTTGATTTAGTTCAACTTAAAGAACAACATACTCTTTATTTTGCTGACCAATATGATTTGTCCTCGCGGAGAGGTCCTTTCGCGGGCAGCTCGTAGACGTTAAATTAAGTTTGCACGTTAGTTGAGAGGTGTAGGACCGAGAAGAGCGATGTAGCAGATACTTGAAACTCACATCAGCAGTTTTTGATAGAATGAACTGCTGATTTTTTGAAATTTTTTGTAGATTTGAGAATCTAGAAGTCAGTTGAAAAAAGCTAACACTTTTTTCTTATTTAAGGTCATGCTGATCGTTTGCGAATTGGTAATGACGGCGACAGCGCACGTAAGCGCGAACAGCAGTGTTGGTTAGTAAATTCCGATTTTCTGGATGCTCTAACTCAAGGAAAAGCCTCTTTCTAGTGCTGAGCTTCTTCACTGATATATATTACATCACGCTTCTCATCGTATTCATGGAGACCACTGCTTACATACTGCATCGGTCAATTCGAACCCAAGAATATGACGCAATGAAAAAGAATCTCTAGGCGAACGTCACATTATAGAAGTTCTGACTATATCTATTACTACAATATTACCTGACAGTTGTAATAAAGAGAGGCGGGTTTCCGGGTAATTTAAAGCTGTTTATTCGCACGAATCTAGCACGGAACATCGAAGACACGAACATTAAACAGAAAATGACCGGACAAAATACAAATGCACGTAAATATGCGTGCAACGCGCAACGCTTCAAAAATCAATAACAGTCAATATGCATGAATAACGCGTATGAACAAAAGCTCGATGCGACACACATATCAAATATTATTACTGAATAATGGACACGTGAACCAAGTAGTTCTTCACCAAATAATGAAACAGCACATTTTATGCCGAAATGCTTAATTTCAAAATAAAAAATTGTTTGCTTCCATTGAATCGATCATCAAGTTTAATTGATAACTCAATACCACACAAAGGACACATTGCTGCTGTGGCTGCTGCTGCTATGTACAATGCCCTGTGTTACATTTTGGACTCGCGAATTGAAATTGTTCGACTGGGGCGCAAAATTTCCGGATACAAATACACACCCCTATATCACTAAATCTATAATTCTACTTGAGAAAATGGATATATTGAACTTACAGTGATCGAATTCAAGTGAGCTAGGAGATGAACACCACAAATATAATTGGACACAACCAGACAACGAGGGGATGAACGGGATCTAAGTGATCTACACTCACATGCAAATAATTGATCTACAACTTCTCGTGGTTCACGCAATTTTTGTAACTTTATTGGCTTTCTCAGATTTTTTGTTCGAAATCACTAGTTTACAAATTGCGCGAGTCACTCGACAATAAGGTAGCTACCGTATTATGATGTGTACACGATTTCGATTTGAGAAAATTGCACGCCATCTCAGTTAGGTGACCTGTAAGGTGGAATAACAAATGATACCAAATTTCTGGGACAACGTGCACATACTATTTCAATGGCAGATATGCAATGAAAACGGGGATGAACTGTACATGACGACACGATGACTGCGATTGCAAATGGAACCATTTGAAGGGCAACGATGACGCCATCCAATGACGTCTTCAGCAACATTTCTTGATGACTTCACACTCGGCATTGGAACTGATGTTTTGCACGCGTAGTAAGCGGCCGAGTGTCGACGTGCCCATCGGCTCCAGATGAAGCGCAGCTGGTTGCAGTCATAGTGTCGGAACTGAAATGTTCATAAACAATATTATCAATGACGTTAATTATAGTCGATTCCTCAAACAGTATAAAATCACGACAACGAGTGTGGGGAGCGGTCGTGGCGTTTGAGGACATAGCGCCGAAAATATGGTTGCTGATACCTTAGCTCGACAGCCACGCGATCATAACAGTTATTTTTTAAGGAATCGACTATAGATGATAGCTGATCGCATGTATTTAATCTTAAAAATAAAAAAAAACAAAACAAAATATGAATAAAGGGGAAAACCCAAAAATAAGAAAATTTCCAGATTGACTATGTAAAGCTGGTGCAAAAGAAAACATGATCGGCAAATGTTTATTCACAACATGGACGCGTGTTCAGAGCGTATTATAGTTCTAATTCTAAATTAAACCACCACTTTGTCACAACTCTCCCCCTAAACACTGTCCTAAAAAAAGAGGTGCTCTTTTTAATCGTAAACCTTTTTTTCTAGAATCCTCCCAAAGTTTTAATATTTGAGCTCGAACAATTAGCCTGGAGTTATTTTTACTCGCAAACGGATCTTTATACCTGTAGAGATAGCGGTAAAACTACCGTGTAATGCAGGTGACTTTACTGTTAAGCATCTTTAACTGGCATCCTTTATGAGTTACGCATTTACGTACTAAAACATTGAAGGATCTGAGCGCACAGGGTGCTCTCAATCAAAAATTTTCTGGTTATATGTATGTGGCCAAAAACGATTGCACAAAGATTGCGGACATGCTCAATATGAACTCCTACCGCACAGTATCGTCAGTATGGGTACGGTACGTGCATACCGTCATGTTCTCAGAATCTTTTACTTGCAATATAAAGGCTATTTGGGGTGCTGAATTCAGTATTGTGATTGTAACCCTACAGTTGGTTCGGCTTAGTGACGTCTTTTCAATGTACAATATCTAGATTTAACTCACCAATACGTTGCCATAATTAGAGTGTAAGGGATCACGAGACGAGCATTATTTTCAAATTCTGCAGACTGAAAAATCCACAGCGCAAATTTTAAGAACATTCTAAATGAGCGTATACAATGTAGTTGCCATATCTCTATGGAAGACAATATCGTACATTTTGATATCAGATTAGTGCGTCAGAAATGTTTCGTCTATATGTTCTTGGTCATATTTATACAGCTAGAAATGCTAAACTGGTTAAGAGCACCGTGTGCACTTACAGCCTCAAGGTGGTAAAGTTATCACATCGAATAGCCTCATGCTGCACGTTCTCAAAAAATTCTGAGAACTATGACTG